AATATAAAAATTTTTATAAGCAAAGAGAACCTCCAAATTTATCAAGAGCAATGGAATTAGTCTTTCCAAGAACGGAAAATATTATCGGTTACATTCTAAAAATATTACCGAAGGATGAAATTATTGAGACATAATTTTCGGAGTTTGAAAATTTCCCGCACTGTGACGCTATACCTGCTCAGTTCCCTCCTTCCCCCTCTTGGCTACTCCAGACCGGGAACAATGAGGCCCAGGTACTGTTAATACTAATGCGACTAATTGGGGTCGGGAGTAGCAGTTACTCAGAAAGTAACCGATGCCCATCCCTGCTCTCTACTAACTGGATGGCTGATCCCCTGAAGTACGGTTGAGGCAAATTGAAGCGCCCCTATTACCGGATAGGATACTAAGTTTGATGTTCATGCGCATGCGGGGCTCTGGTGGTGCGGAGTGGAGCGTGGTCATTTTACTATCAGGATTGAGAAATGTTCGTCATATTTTATTTTGTGTCAGTATTTTACTATTTCAATACTGTACGAAATTTAAAAGAAAATAGATATTCTTTATTTCATTAATGTACAATATGTGTTTGGAGACGAAAAGCAGATATGAGGATTGGAGATTGCTTAAATCTATTAGTATAGAGATCAGTGGTTCCATGGATAGCTCGGAGATCTCTGTCCAACTAATGTGCGCGTAATGTACCAGAGATTCTCTTGCGGCGCGAGTAAAGGTTCTCGGTGAAATAGCGCGAGTGCTGACGAGTTCAAGATTAAAGATCGTTGATATTTAATGAAAAAATAGTCTACGAGTATTGAGTCGGTTTCGATTAAAGGACAATCCGCAACCGATGATAAACTCGCCGATTTTCAGCCATGTTGCATGTATCTGCATGAGAGGCAAAACCTGATCGGGGCCCGATGCTTCATTCAACAACATTTTTCACTCGACATACTTTGTTCAAGGGCAAGGACGGTGATCACACTGATTCCGTAGTTGCAGTAGAATTCTTGATTCCAGTCATACTTCAATTACTAACATTGTGCTGGGGTGGTAATCTCTCTCTTATTGAGAGTGACAAATCGAGCAATTCACTTTATGAAGCACATTGTTACGAGAGAGACAAAGAATTTCGGGACAATGCGAAAATATTTCTCGGCGCTGTAAAGAATTCACTGATAATCAGCGCTGGTGGTCTCTATGATTTGTCAGCTGTTACTTTCAAAAATGTATGGAATTATTTATTCATTCCTTTCCTCATCAATAGGTATTATATTTTTCATATTCACGATTATCTATGATTACAGCTGCTCAGCAAAGCTTACTCAGGAGTGGCAGTTCTAAAAAATTTGAATGAATGAGAATTCGGTTGTGAGACAGGTCTGCCATACCATTTATACTTCTGTATACTGGATTGCTTAAACGATTCTAGTTGCGAATAATTGTAGAATTACATTCACCTAGCAATTGTATCACTTAAAATTTGTACTGAATGGACTTGGTTATTCAACTTTTCATTACATTGCATTTTGGAATTTATTCGAATTTTTACATTTATCGAATTTGTAAAATAGGGGAGAGGACGATAAGAAGAAATTATTCATCATCCTTCGAGTTTTAATTATGAGATGAAGTGGATTTATTTTCTATATGTACAGACTACGTTCAATTTCTAATTGGATTAACCCTCTGTGGTAAATCGGCATTTCGTCCATTACCCATGTTACGACACACACGAGGAACAGGGATAGAGGAAAAACGTCGTAGATGGCTTTAATATCGTCTCTTCAATCTTTTAATCACGCACTTATTTATGGAAATTTAATCGAGCTCCTTACGTACATTTGCACTGTTAAAAAATTACTCCTGAAATTTTAAGTAAAAAATCTTAAAATTTTTAACAATCACTCATTCACGTGAAACTTTCATGCATTTTGTTATTGGAAAATCAATTGAATTCTGCAGTATTCATGAAATTGCAATTTTCAGGTCCACATGATAATGAAAATGATTAAATGATTTGAAAATTCGAGCAACAATTTTCCTGAATTTTCAATCCACTGAAAATTCAGTTCGATGTGATGTTTAATTTCCGTGATGGATTCTAAAAATTCAGATGTCATTGAAAAATCAGTGATAATGGAACGTGGAAAACTCACTTATTTTGAATTTCTGACCTGAATGAGAGATTCCATGAACGAGTTGATCTTAAATTGAACACAAATTCACAACATTGAGAATTCAAATGCAATCATTGCTTAATTTTCAAAACATTTCTAACAGTGTGGGCAAACTGCGATGGATATTAATCATGTGGTGTGGGACTGTGACAAATCCATTTAAATTTTCAATATTCTGAACGTGAATTCAATTTCGGACTAAATTGGTCATGGAATTCAGGATTAATCTTGGAAATTCAATAAAATTAAGTTTTTCATGATGACTGATCATTGAATTTTCAATGACAAATTTGATTTTCAAACCTATCACGAAAATTAAGCAACAGATTGAAAATTCTCAAGACAAATTACCTGAATTTTTACGATTTTCAGTAATTTTCATTGTCGTATGAATCTGAAAAATCAAATTTCATTGAATATTGAAGAACATAGACTGATTTATCAATAACAAGATCGAAATTTCATGTAAATTATTCGTTATTAAAAATTTCAAAATTTTTTACTTTAAATTTCAAGAGTAATTTTCTAACAGTGTTCTATTCAACTATCATAAAGTAAGGTATGCAAATGGGCAGTGATGGGTTATTACGTGAGTTCCAATAATTCCTTAAAATGATATTCAAGTGTTTCAGAAGATCCAACTTGCTCACCACAACTGTAGTTTCATAGTTCATCAGCTCACAACAGATAGCTTCATAATAACGTCAAATCCATATCAAAGTGGTAGAGCACATACCATCAGATGCATTATTAAGCATTGCTATAAATGATGAAGTATCTTTATTCTCTATTCATAAGGATCCCATATTATATTCATAGGACTGTTACAGTAGCATGATTTCTATAGTGATGACGCAGAGTCCATATCACATCACATGTCTCAGTATTTCTGCGCATTTCGACAGCACAAGATCTCTCTGAAATTCGTCATGAGGAAAACAAATTCCTTTCCGCTGGGGAAAAGTTACTTGCACTTTAATTTTCAGTGTTTGAGCTGGCTTGGTAGAGAAATTACGACCGATTCTGAATGTTTGTGACGTGAATGTTGGAGTGGTTCAAGACAGGCACGCAATCATTTTTTTATCATGGAGTCATCCATGATTATTATGATGTGACATGTCGATTTGAATCATTCCACATTCTCATTCTGCTATTGGCAATTCAATGAATTTTTATAATATTCAGGGATATGGAACCCGTACGAAGGAGGACTGAAGTACTGGCTTTATCAAGTTTATTGGGTGTACGTTATTAGTGTAATAATGGCAATGAGACTAATGAACATATTGGTGCGAGGAATTAATGCCGAGAATTCAGCCCAATTTCTTCAAGAATTTTCAATGCTGGCCGTGGAAACAGCTGACACCATCAAGTATATCGCATTTTTATTTCATCGAGCTGAAGTATTGGAGTTGTCCGAGGCATTCAATTGGGAGAGACACTTGTTAGGGACTAATGAAATTAGTGAGGAAATTACCAAGGGCAAATTAACTTAATTGAAAAAGAGCTGACGTAACTGGAATATTTGAGGTGTAATAGGGTTCGTGAAAAAAAATTTCCATTTCTTCAGAGTGTCAACCTTTTCAGAATCCAAAGTCATGAATCACATGAACAATCAAATGAACCTTTGACCCCTGTGTTTGGCCCTTCAATTTTCGCTTCATTTATTTGACCCATCATATTCAATCCGTCGCATTTGGCCCTTCATATTTTTTCATGAAATTCGAAGTCTTCAGGACACTACATCCACTATACGTGTTTCGTCGGCCCTGGAACTCTATTCTTGAATCGGTGAGTGGTCAAGCATAGAGATGCGAGGTGACGTAACGAATGGGAAACCGTCCGATCACAAAAATATGACCGTCATTGACAATAAAAAAAAAAAGTCCATTCAAAGAGAATTAAAATTTAGAGAGAAAAAAATCCCGATCCGCCCAGCCGGGATTCGAACCCGGGTCTCCCAGTTACGCGCCGGGCACTCTTCCAACTAAGCTACCGGGAACCACGGAAACTCTTTCACTCCAAATTCAACTCAGCACGCCGCCTAACCACCTTTAGGCATTAAATAAATTCAAAGAGAATTAAAATTTAGAGAGTGTCATGTCTTCTCTTGTCAATAAAACGATGAGATAAAATTTTGTCATTGACAAATTATCTATATACATGCGATATGAAGGTCATTTTTTTTTCCGTGTCACAAAATTTTGTCATGTTTTGCCATGTTTCGTCACGTGATTATCCATCAGTTCATTCGCTCAGAGACAGGAGAGGTTTATTCAATGAAAAGAGTAGATTTATCAAAGACAATTAAAGAATAAATGATCAGAAATCAACATTGTCGCCATTTTCTAACTACTTCGGGGTGACATGGGATTACAGCTTCGCCAACTTTCAGACAAAATCGGAAAAGAAAATTTGGACATCTGAAGTGGCGCCACCACTTCGATGCGATATGACCGTCATAACGTAAGTCGGTCACATTTTTGTCATGTGACAGTAATTGGTGATTCGTGAGTCGGTAATGTGACATGTCACATACCCGTCATGTGACATGCTATGAAATTTGCTCGCACCTCTAACGGAGCGTATACGTTTGACTCGTATACACAATTGTGAGCGTATACGTTAGGTCGCGTTTGCTCACGCCATCACTCATGAGCACGTTCGTAACGGCATTCAAATGCCGCCAAATGAATGGTCATGTGTCTGTCATTCGTAAATCAGTTATTAGCTACTTAGTTAAAGTAGCTCTACCCCTACGGCTGGAGTCATTGAGTCTATTTCACAAAAAATACATTCTAAAAATCAGTATTTCTAGCTCTAAATTATTAAAATAAATCATAGAGGTCATGAGCATAAGTATTATCTTATATCAATTTTTTTAAAATAAAGTGCACATAAGCAGTTTTTCAATTGACTAGCTTGCAAATAACTGTGGCAACGCCGTACGATCATATGGGAAGTTGGAGACGAGCGGAGCGGGCGCCATCACATGGTCACTGTTGTCATTTCTATTCCTGTTGCCAGTATTATTAATAATAAAAAAACTAAACGATAAATCGTTATCCAACAGGTGCCAATATTTTTTATTATTTTTTTCTCGTTTTCAGAAAAAAAAATTGTATTTTAATCTTTGTTTTAACCGGAGTTGTGGTAAATTCTGCGTTTTTCACATAAGACCCTGTGTTAAATAATGGATTGTCAACATTTCCTTTTAGAAAAACTTGAACGACAATTAAATGAGGAAAAAAATTACGATTCCGAATCACACCGAGTTTTTAGGCGATTTGTTGTAGTTTTTAAAAATCTTTGAATTGAAATATAACCCCAAAAGGGTAGAGCTACTTTAATAATAACAGTGAGTTGGGAGTGAGTAACGACAGTATATAGTAATTGGCGATTATCAGGAGTCAGACGATTTATCCTGAATGACGATGGCTTATTTGCCGTTCATGTTGGAGCATATGGATGCAACAATAGAAAAGCCGGAAAACGAGACATGCCTTTGAGTGAATGAACTACTGAATCTGCCAGTTTTTAACTCAGTCCACCATCAATTTTTTTGCTGGGAGGTCATAACCTCTCGAGATTTCTTCTCTTCTCCTTCTTTGTTCATTTTGTTTTTTGCATCTCTTGGCATTCTATTACTTGTTCATCGATAATAGTATAGTGTGCCCCTAGGGAGTAAAAGTATTTTCTGACGAATGGAACGTTATAACCCGAGCCGAAGGCGAGGGTTATAATCACATGAGTCAGAAAATACTTTTACTGCCATGTGGCACACGATATTTTACGCCTCGAGGACTGAAAACCGCGATTTAACCGAGCGAAGCGAGGTTAGAATCGCGGTTTTCCGTCCCTAGAGGCAAAAAAGGAATTACGCTACACATATTCGTAGTAATTATGACATCAGGTAGCACAAATTTGGAAGGAGGAGACGACTAACCAGCGTATACGTTCACAGTTGCGTATACGAGTCGACCGGATACGCTCAACCACTCACCGATTCGCAAATAGGTTTCCTGATCAGGCAAATACTTGGCTGAGAAAAAAAATCACATTGATTATAAATTTTTCTCTTGCAGCACAGTACCGAAACACAGTGCTCACTAGTTCATTGAGTTCTTCCAAAACATTCACCATTACCATCATGATCACTCTCATCCAATACTTCACGTTTTCGTTCTACTCCGCATTCTGTGAGGCTGATTATAAAGCGGAAAGACTTCCCATAAGGTAATACAGATTAATTTCATTTAGAATAATAACTTGGATGAAATATTCATGTTTTTCCTTTTATTTTCAGTGTTGCACCGATGAAATACTGTTTCGTACTAACGAATTTCTGGGTTGCTTTCATCAGTGACTACCTAACATTCACTCTACTGGGCCTGATTGCCGTTGCTCATGATGCATTCATCATGGCTGTGATGATAAATGTCGAGGCGCAATTGAAGATACTTAATTTTCGGTTGGAACGATGTCATCTGACAAATCATCACAATCATGATGCCACCAGAAATGATGTCGATCCAGTTGTCATTCATTTCGAGTGCGTTGAAAGGTGCACTCAAAATGCACTCAATCTAAATGCAGAACTTATCAATTGTATCAAATTTCATCAACAAATTGTGAGGTAATTATCACGCTTGTGTACTTCAGAACATGAAAATTATTTTAAAATTTTTCTTTCAGGATATTGCGAATATTCAAAAAAATTTATGACAACGCCCTCCTACCCCAGCTATTCATCAGTTTATTACTAATCACCGCACTTCTATTACAGATGATTCTGGTCAGTGACCAGATAGCATTGTTCATAGCAAAAAATCGTTCTTCCACCATTATTTCAACTAGATATTTTTGTTCAAGGGCAGGGAAAGTAATAATACTGATGCCGTAGTCGCGCTAGGATTCTTGATTCCGGTTATACTGCAATTACTGACATTCTGCTGGGGTGGCAACATCATCTTGGTTGAGAGTGACAGGTCAAGCAATTCACTTTACGTGTCTCATTGGTACACCAGAGACAGAGAATTTCGAGATAATGTGAAAATATTTCTCGGTGCTATCAGAAATCCGTTGATTGTCAGGGCTGGTGGTTTGTGTGACTTGTCAGCAGTTACTTTCAAAAATGTATAGAATCATTCGATTCCTCGTTCTTTTCCCAATCTGTATTACATTTTTGTCGCACTAATGATGAGTATTTGTCATTCCAGATCATCAGCAAAGCTTATTCTGGAGTGGCAGTTCTACAAAATATGCAGAATGAATGAATGAGGATTTCCTAGTTCTCAGGAGTTACAATAGTCTCCGAGAATTGATTACGCTTCATCATTCGAACATGATAGTCTCTGAATAGAAGTGGTTGTGAGAGATATTGACTTATGCAGTTTTCAAGAGAATTTTTACTCGTTAGAAATGTTGAATAAATAGAAGATAAAGACATGGGCCTCTTTGATGACTAGACATTCAAGCTTAGTGCAAATTTGGTCTTCGTTAAAACATGGGAGGTCGTCTCGTTTTCTCGTTTAACCACCATTGAGCATTATTTTGATAGATGATAAAACATACAGGGGTTCGAGGCTATTCGACAGAAGACATGTGGCCGTTACTTTTTGGATCTTTAGTCTCTTCCTTTTTTTTTATTTCTATCAATTCCATTGATAGTAAGCTTCCGAATGGATCCGTAGCAGTTCTTTACCGTTGTGACAGGCATGCAGACATGCAGATAGGCCGTAACCACATACAAAAGGTATGAATATCTCCGATATTGCTCGCGCAATCTCCGATTGCGCCTATTCCAAATGCCAACTTTCAATATTGTAAGAGCAATAATCATACCAAATCTCAACTTGCTATCTCCATTTTTTCTCAAGTTATCGTGCGTACAAGAATGAAAACATTTTACGACGACATAACGGCAATATTTCGAAAATTTGGTATCAATGGGTATAGATATTTTTATTGATTTTGGTAGAAGCCGCCGAGACGAGTATTTTGAAACGAGAAAAAAGCAAATCCGTTGAATGGTTTCTGAGATATTTATCAAAATATATTTACACAAAAGGGTGCATATCTCAGTAACCGCTTGGCCGATTGCGCCCATCCAAAATACTAACCTTTAGTATTATAAGAGCTAGAATCGTACCAAATTTCAACTTGCTGTCTCCTTTTTTTCTCAAATTATCGTGCGTATCAAATTTTTCATGAAAAACAGAAAAACGGCAATGTCTCCAAACTCTTTTTTTTAATTGTCATTTTCCATCGCTGCGATAAGGTTGAGTATCTATCCGTCGGGCTATCTCCAAGCTCTGTATTAAAGAGTCTATATATTCTGATTAACGTACATACAGTCCATCGAGACGAGTATTTGGAAAAAAAATTGAAATCGGTGCAGTAGTTTTTGAGATATTGAGAAAAAAACGAAATTTAAACAAGTGGTTATTGGGGACGCTTAATAACAAGACGCCCTCTATGAATGCCTGCGTTAAGGGTGCACATCTACGATACACAAGCAAATGGGGGCTTGTGTGAGCGCGTGTGTGAATACCTCTTTGACGGCCATATTGGCAAAAAACAGCGCCCTCAACGATATTTCCTGTTCCCAATATCTCAGGACCTCCTGGACCGATCGGGCTGAAATAGCGCGCAAAGTTGAGCTCAATAATAGCTACAATGAGCCAAAACTTCAGATTTTTATCTACAAAATTCACCGCAGTTATGTTGAATTTTCTAAAAATTAATCACCAAAAACCCAAGTTGTCGGATACATACATACAGACATGGCCCTAAAAACATTATTCGTTCACGTTTCATAATATTCTAGACCATCTGCAATCAAAATGAGAAACTCGAAAGATCGATCAAAAACAAGTCGTCCATTCAGAAGCAAAGAAACATGGTTTGCATGTTTGAATCCAAGCCTGATTGAAATATCATAGCATTGACGGAGAAGCATTCAGAGGCAATTGCTGTAATTCCCTTCACCTTCATCATTGACCCACTGATACATTTACGTTTAGCTATACCATCTGCGATCGATGATGTGTAAGGGTACCTACGGCCGGCGACCCTTCCGATACAAAGTCATCCCCCTGTTCAAGAGATCAATCGCCTCTGATCGGCGCCAGAATTTTCATCGTCCTGTCATCGCTAGACATTTTTTCATGAATAATGAAAAAGTTGCGATCGCTAGAAAATGATGGATCACGTGCGTTCGGATATTGTCCCTCAGGTAGATACAACAACTTTTTCTCAGTTAGAGAACTTTTCATTTCCAGGCGGTGGGTAATGACAGGGAGCGATTGATCGTGAATACTCGATGATATTGGGGGATTCCCCGGGGGTCGGCACGCTGGCGGTGGATCAGCCGTGGACAGTAGCCATTGAACTGCCGCGCGGAACAGTAGTCTCTTGGAGGCTTGATACAGCTTTCACAATAATCACTTGGAGCACTGATAAAAAGGATTAGTTATTGTTAACAAATGGCTTTGGTTGAAGTATAGGGGCTACTCGGTTTCACCAAATCTTCATTCGTTAATAGTCAACAAATACACATTTGAGGAGCCTTGTTTGACTTGACTTTCACCTTTCAAGTGAACCAGTCGTTAACTATTAACGAATATTTATTTGGTCATATTCATCTCTACTATTCATTAACAGTTAACGAATCTCGTTTGAAATAAATGAATCATTCTATCAGTAAGTATAGTCTCTTGTGATTATACGATCGTTCCGATATTGACTACTTATAGACATGTTGATCAACTCATTTTGTGCGCGACGTGTCAACCATCACAGAATTGTGGAATATGAGGAAACTTTGATGTGATTATGAGCGGGCGGAAGATAGAGGCGCTCACAATGCTTTTGACTGACTCCTCCGGAATTGTGGGGTCAAATTCTCATTGATGATTGATCAATTGAGAGTTTACTTCAATTCTCCAATATTTTTAGCATCTCTTTTTTCTAAGATCTTCTGCGTCGAGGTTCATTAAGAAATGAAAATTAGTTCAATGAACAAAAAGGTGACAAGGCTTCTCTACGATTCCTTTGACGACTTCTACCATGGAAGATGTCCCCTGGAGTTCACCAGACTGAAAATGTAAGTGAGAATGGTGAATTCACATACGAGATACTTGATCATCACCGGTATCCTTTACCAATCCGATCCTTCGCAATTATGTACCTTCTGTCTCCAATTTCCTAACGAAAGCCTTGCCCACATCCTCTTCTCATCTGGAATCATTCTTTTCCTTAACAGCAATGAGTTTCCTGATACGAGATTTCTGTATTTTTTTGCAAAAAAGTGCTTTCAACTGCGTGCCCTGCAATTGAATGACTAGGACTGCCCGACCTAGTTATGATTGAAGGGGATGGTCTTTTGGCTTTTTGTAACGTAGCTCCAGCTAACCACTGTCGTATCGCCTCTGGCTTACTGCTTATCACTAAGTTCCTGATTGGTCTTCTCAAAACTTAATCTAACTTAATTTCGACTTATTTGGCATATTTTGTTATTTTTATTTCAAAATCTTATTCTCTTTCTTTTCGTATATTATTTTTCTTTTTCGACACTTGCTGCACACGATATCTCATACAATGTATTATGAATTCCCCTATAATAATAGTACCATGTACCAAAGGCAGTAATATATATATATATATATATATATATATATATATATAAAACTAGCTTAGCGATTGATTTTAATAGGAGGTGAGGTAGAGTAACATTACACGTGAGAATTCAATGTTTTGATTTCAGAGGAGCTAGAGGGAAAATTCTGTCGAAGGCTTCCATCCTTGCTCCGTTCACATTTCTCTTCATTGTGAGTGTTCCATTGATTTCGAGGTACTTCTTGTTTTCAGGTGTAAATCTGTCCCACTTAATGCCCCTGAACAACGGATTATCCCGAGGGATGGGATTCCCAGTTTTTGCGAAACTCGCCCACATGGCTGTCAGGTGTTTGACCGTAGGAATTTCTGGTGCATCGGGCTCGAGGTAGGGGAAGAAGACTTTCATGAAGAAGAGATACATCAGCTCGTCATGATGACCAACACCTGGAACCAAGAAGATTGCTCGTTCCAATTTCTTCATTTTATTTTATACTCGATCATGGATACAGTCTCGCGTCAAGTGTTTTGATAGAAGACACTTTGATGTGAGCACTCCGAAAATTAAAGTCTCGAGCCAAATTCTGATTGAAGTCTCTTGAATTGAGTGTATCTTACCCATAGGTTTCCTTGTGTCAGTCCAAACGTAATAACTCCTTCGGCCTTGGTACACAAAATGGTAATAATATACCGGTTGATCCGAGTGCGCAGCGACCAAATTCACCATGCGATTTACTGGAAATTTCACGATGGAGTCGGAAAACAACTGAATTCAGGAAAAAAGTAATTAATTCTTGCCGGAATGGATTGCATTGATGAATCCTCTTCGTTCATTTCACCTGTCCTAATTTTTCCCAATTAGCCAATCCAATCTTCTCTCCCTTGAAGTAAAAATCCCTCAGCTCTTTACTGATCTGTTTCGACTTAGTTGTATTTCTCTCGTAACTGAAGATGATTGGAGCTATGTCATCCCAATTCTCATTCAAATCATCGAATATGGAATTGTTACCTTTTCTTGCTTCAACAACAGGTACTACGAAACCAAGACAAAACAATGAAATGGAGAATATAATTCAATGGGAGGCCCTAACTCTAGAAATAGACTGCGGTCAGGTGGTAAATATTGAAATAGACATGGATAATAATGCTTTGTTACGTTCTTTGTTTTTCAAATAGACGCCGAGAATAACCGAATTTAGCGAAGCGGTAAACCGGGTCAAGTCGATTTTGACTTTTGGTCAGTTTTTGAGGAATATCTCACAATCTAAGAGAGATAGCAAAATTTTTCTCATGACCTTTTTTATAACCCTCGATTGACCCAACAAGAAAGGTCATGACAAAAATTTTTTTATCTCTTAGATTTCGAGATATTCGTCAAAAACTAGCCAACAGTCAAAATCGACTTGATCCGGTTTACCGCTTCGCTACTGAATTGCCCTGATGAGGCGTGAGATTTACCACTCGAGATATTGGCAAAAGTAAATGGATTTTCTGTTTTGAATCATTGTGGAAGTTAAAATAGCCGCACGGAGAGAAATGTTCCGTAAAAATTACGGAACTCACAGTTCGCTCACCGATTACGGAATCGACTTAGAAAATTGAAGTGACGTTATCGTAATTTTTCACAGGAGATTCAGGTAAAAATTACGGAAGGCTCTGGAACAATTCCGTGATTTTAGTTAAAAATTACGTGACAGTTCCGTAAAATTTCCTAAAACCACATTTCGCTCTGGAATTACGGAAAAGATACGTAATTTTTATTCAATATTTCTCTCCGTGCGAGAGCCGCGGAATGGTCTGGAGAAGGATTAGGAACTTCAAGTAATAGACAATTGAAAAAATGCTCACATCTGGCCAAACTTGCAAATTCATCCCGCGTAGTACCCGCCATATACGGCACCTTGTGAAATTTTCCCTGCCTGATCAATTCATCAGGCTGTCCAACAATGAACCTCTCGACTCCAGGAATATCAGGCTCAACAACCGGACCCCAGACGCGAATGGGATTATCATGCCACTCCATGAACTGCCCAAAGGTCGAGACCATTTTCTCGTGTGGAACCTTCTCCATGCACGAGAGAATCCTCTCAGTACTGTCATTAGGACATCCAACCAGAGTCGCCTGTTTCTTAGCGATTTCCGTTTGCTCATAAGGCATAGGTGCTGGCTTGGTGGGGGAACCACTCATGGAGACTGCCCGATGAAACAGACCTTTTGACATTGGTGAGAGCATGTGAAGAGCTGTGCTCCACGCGCCTGCACTGTATCCAACGATTGTTACTGAATCGTGATCGCCACCGAATGGAGCGATGTTTTTTTGGATCCAGCGCAGGGCCTCAACTTGATCCTTCAGGCCCAAATTACCGGGAGATAAGGCGTCACCAGTGGCTGTGAATCCTGCAGAAAATTGAAAAAGTACAGTCAACTCTTTATTTAAGATACTTACAGTAGACGAGTAGAATTATGGCTTGCATACATTTTATATAAGACTAGGGGGCTATGACTCCCAGTAGGACGCCGATATAACCTCATATGACTCCCATGACCCTTATTTGCACCCCCTTGACCATTCTGACCCTTGTAACCCTTAATTTGACCCTCCTGACCCTTATATGAACCGATATAACCTCATATGATGCCCATATGAGTCACATATGTCCCCCACATGACCTTCATATAGCCTCATATGACTCCCATGACCCTCCTTGACCCTTCTCACACTTGTAAACCTTAATCTGACCTTCGTGACCCTTATTCTGACGTTTGCGACCCTTAATCTGACTCTTATTTGTTGACCCTTAATTTTGGAGTCTTAATTTTGACTACCAAATTTTCATCACCAGCAGTCGATTTGGATTTTTATATTATAGAGAGAAACAATTTTAAATGGAATGACGTCACGATCTGGTAACACTGTTTTCTTATTTTTTTGTGAGACCTGCCTCAAAAGTGAACTTTTCGAAACGGTTTAGTATGCGTAAAGCTGTTATTTTCTGCACGGCGTGCATAAAGTTCACTTTAGGCATGCTCTTGACGCACTCATGTACAAAAAATGAGCACATTACTCCCATTACCGTTCCGAGCAGCGAACTCGGTAGGTACCACACAACATAGAACGTGTTACACGTGCGTGTGAAAAAGTGGACCTTTACGCACTAGTAGCACAATATACTATTTTAACATGACCAGATGTGATAGAAACACTGGTCCTTTGACCCTTATCACTTTGTTCGTCCCTCTTGCATGACCCTTAAATCCGTTTGACCCGTGCGATTACCCTTTCTTTAAAAAAAAACCTGGGCCGTCAATTTCTTATAAAATTGCAGGCAGCTGTGTTTTCGATACAGCAGTAATTGTACGTGGATACGGCCATGGTCTTTCCTTCTTTCTCGAATTTCCTAGAAACTCCTTGCATTCCCTCGAATTTTCTGGAAATTGCTTGAATTCTCTCGAATTTTCTAGATACTCTTAGAATTCCCTCGAATTTTCTAGAAACTTCCTGAATTTCCTCGAAATTTCTAGATACTCCTTGAAATTTTCCGAAATTTGAAGAAATTTCTCGAATTACCTCGAAATGTCTAGAACTTTCTAGACTTCCGATGGATAGTGCTGCACATAAGGACCGTTTCGCAAAATGATCCCTGATATTGAAACCATAGACGTATCCACGACAAAAAGGACACTGAAATGAAGAGAATTTTATGGCCTAGGATGTGAAAAACTTCTGAAGCTTCGAAGTAAGAATTTAATTGCACTCGACTAAAGAAATATATGTCTCTGTTTCTTCTACCTATTGCACCAAGGCGAAAATTCACGGTGACCAGAACAATATCTTCGTCCATTAGATACTGAGGCCCAAAAACATAACTCTGTCCAGAGAATCCAACAAATGCACCAGGATGGAAGAATACTATGACTGGTCTTTTTGTTTCAGGTCCCAGCTGGAAAATACCTCAATCGAATCAGTTGTATAAAAGGCTCCAAACATGGTGATCTCCACAATAAATATCTTCTGTTGAAAATTCCTCTAACAAACAAATGCGCGGGGAAGGTGCGAAATTTTCCAATGGCATCGACGAAAAACTCAGAATTTTTAATGGATGTCCATTTGTCTCACAAAAGCGCTCGGGTTTTTTCATTTTTTTTACACCTAGATATGTGAAGGGTACCTTGGTGCTGTAGACATTCAAGCGGAGGCAGTCATCGCTCTTGTTTTGTCCGCCCTGTCTGGGGCAGGATGGACCCTCTTCAGAGGCATCAAAAACGTTGGTCCAGGGTTTAGCTGGTACTGCAAGCTACGGAAATTCATATGATTCTCAATGAAACTCATATCCATTCACTACTTGACGTAGAAATCCGTATCCGTAGAAAAGGTTCACATGTAATGTAAAAAACGATTTATTTCATCTTTTCTTTGCGTTTAGTCTAGTAAAATTGATCTAGACAATTACAATTTGAGCTCCCCTAGAAGAATTGTATTCCAGAAATATCAAGATGTTTCATACCTCGTATTTTTCCATTTTCATGTCCACTTGACTCTAAATGTCAATTTTTCAGAATTATATTCATTAAGCAGAAGTATTTTTGTCTTTAAGTAGTTAATAGATTAGGTAGTTTACATAAATGTGTCTGCTTTAGAAAAGGAACCACAGCTTAATACATCTCGTACGTTAATCTAGGCTGATATTCGTATGTATTCAACGAATTCATATTTTGAGAAAATTATTTACTAGTCTACTGTCTGCATATCACTTATCAATTGATTGGATGGGTCTAGTTTATTGTCTACATTTAATTTGAGAAGTAGAAGTTGAGGGTCCACTATCTCCCATATATCCACGATAGAAATTACCTTGAATCCACGGGAAAACGTCCCGTATATCCGCGGTCAATGTTACTGTGGAGCGTGCAATTCAGTGGTGAAGTGGTAAACCGGTTTAAGTCGACTCATCTCCCAGTTGAGTTCTTGAGGAATATTTCCGAATCTAACGGAGATAGCGAACTTTTCGTTATTACATTTCTTATAGCACTCAATCGGCTCTATAAAAAAGGTTATAACAAAAATGTTGCCATCTCTCTTAGATTCCGAGATATTGATTGAAAACTGGTCAGTACTCCAAATTGATTTATCTCCTTTTACCACTCTTCAAGAGAACAATAGATTCCTCTCCGTCCCACCTCCCACATGCCCATCCCGTCATAAATACCTTAACTCACTCGTAAAACTCTTAATTTTTTTTAATCTCGTGCTGAAGTGTAAACCCCCCTGCAAAAAGGTACCATCTACCTCGTACAGTAACAAATCAATCAATCAACAGAAAAATCTGGCACTTTCTTGAAGAATAGACGCAATAAACAGATAGGATTTTCGAATAGAATTCAAATCAAAATTCAATAAAATTTCTTAGAGAAAGCGTAAGAATTTTCTATCATATTTTTCGTACGTTTTGACTCATCAGAATTGTCTGATTGGATCATAAGATATTGATTATTCAAGAAGGAATATTTTACCTCATTTTACTCTAAAATTTAAAAACTGTCACCTTGAATCGAAGAGGCCCAATCGGTCCCTCAGCATATCTGAGTCCTCTGAAGGCGTAAATTTTCTTGCCTAATCGAGACTCGAGTAGCGAGCCCTTGACCTTGCCCAAGCTAAAGGTCACTTCAGGGTTTGCAGACGCATCCTCACAATTTACTGACCCCAACGCGAGCACGGAAATACACCCGAGAATAGCAATGAATTGACGAGCCATTGTGCCTACAGACTGAAGAAATCTGGCGACAACAAGCCAGCTATATAGCCAGCTCCATGAGGAAAACCTCAGGGATATTGCGATAAAAGTATCATTATGTATATTTGTGACGTTATTTCAGTGAATGTAACTCAGCCATTATCTGAGTTTAGTGGAAACTTTTAATTACGAGTCCGATTATCTCTCATTCTATAAATCAATTTTTTACGAACCGCAGAAATGATTTTGTCGTCCCAATTAAGAGGAAAAAGAGGTTTCTCTTCTTCATCGTTGAAGAATGAGAAATGTCTCGAACTCGAGAGACGAAGCCTCGTTTGTTATTGTGGAGTTTTTATCATCGATAACAGATATTTATACTCTTCAGGAATGGCAAAAATTCCGCGAACATTTTTTTTTAAGACTCATCAATTTAAAAATTTAAAAAACATCATGAATATTCAGCGTCATTCAAATAACATTTTGCACAGAATTATTATTTTTTTTAACATTCGTCGTGTATAAATAAATAATTGAAATTGTTTGAACTTTCGGAAACCTTATTAACTTCCCGATCTGAAGGGAGGAGGTTATTGTAATGATCCCAAAAATCGATTGTGGAAATTTCATGATTTCTCCACGTTTCATGACCCCTAGAAACTCTCCCGACACTTTTTAGAGACTGGTCTGTAAGCATGTGTGTATATGTAACCAAAATTTTGTGCTACGATTTCTCTCGAACAAACGATGCGATTCAATTTTTTTTCACGAAATCGATGCGTTTTCATGTAACTTAGAACTGGTTAGATTCTGAACAACATCGCCTCAGCGGTTCAGCGGTTCTCAGATTTGGCAATAAAACTTGTGAAAAAACGTCGAAAAACGACATTTTTTTACAAATTTTAGGATTCCTCTCGGAGAAGCGACGAGATTGATTTCTTGTCATCATAATTGATGTAACTTTGTATAATTAAGACTGCAGTGAAATTTCAGCAAATTCGTCTCAGCGGTTTCGGAGTAATTCGAACATGATTCTTCGATATAGGTCAATTTTTTCATTATTATTTTTTTTTTCATTCTATTTTTCTGTTTTTTCATTAAGAAAATCAAACAAAAAAACTTGAAAAAATTTGAGCCGAGGAATTTCAATGGAGAATATCTCAACAGAATAAGTTGTATAGAAAAATCTAATTCTAATGGATGAAGGAAAGGTAATTGGTCGGGAAGTTATTGGTTCGACCCGTCATGGGTCACATCCACTTTAACCCACTCGCAATAGGAGCGAGCGAAGCGAGCAACCAACAACCCAGTCGAATTTTTTTAGGCATGAAATCGTTTCCTGGTAAAATTATGGACATGAATAAATTTGTTACAAATAATTTTTATGATGGAAAATTGATTGTTTATAAATTATTTATAGCAACCGCAGGTAGTTATCAAAACGTGCAATTTTTTAATTATTTCATCAACTTTCCTTCAAATGTAAACTTTCTGATTTTTTTCTGATTTTTTACATGTTTTCTAACGATTCACTATCGCGATTCAAATTCAGACCTGCAATGTTGAAATAAAAATTTCAATGAAAAATAAATTTTTCGATAATATACAAAATTATTTGATCATTTTTCAATAGAAATTTGACTGAAAAGTGCCCTAATACGTTGAGTTGTGGAGCCCAGTCTTGATTTTTCATTGAAAAAAATTCATTCATGCCCTCAATAACAAATGACACCTGACCCACGCAATTTGACTTGTGTCGCAATTCACATGCTACAAGTCAAAAAATTTTACCAAATATTCTTAATTATCACATCGTACAATTTATTTCTTACCGATATACTATTTTAATGAGGAATTCCTGACTGACAGAAGTTTCATCCTTGATAATCTCCCAACCCATCCAGCCAGTGATTGCTAAGTGTCAAAAAATCGTGAAGTGCCCAGGATAACCCTTATTCACCCATACTATGACGTCTGGAACCAGTCACAAGTTCAAATGCGATATTACGTAATTTACTGGTAAATATTCAATCAAAAAAAACTTGCCAACGCTTCGAGTTTTCCATTTCACGGGATTCTACTGCCCAAAAAAGCCAATGGAAAAATTAAAAAACTTCAATGGAACGAGTTCAATATTATGACACATATCATATATAGCAAATATGAAGGGTCTAACGTAAGGGCTGAATTTTGAAAGTTGAATATTAATTGTTGAAACCCCTAAAGCGAATATGAAAGTTCACACACGTATGAACAAATTTAATAGAAAAACCTAGCGAATTCGCTAGACAGTTCTATTGGATTTCTATTGATCTTTCTATTTGCTTTTGGCCGAATCTATTGAAATATTCAATAGAAAAAGCTAATAGATGGTGAGTTTTACACAAGTCATTTTATTCAGATATTTCCTACAGATTTTCCTCGGCTCCAATTTTCCAAGTTTTTTTCATTCTATTTTTCTTGTCTTTTCATTGAAAAAAATCAAGGAAAAAACGTGGCAAATTTGAGCCGCGGAAAATCTGTAGACAATATCTCAATAGAATAAGTTGTATAGAAAAATCAAATTCTATTGACTTTTTCTATGGAACATTTTCTATTGATTAGTTCAATAGAATGGGCCACAAACTAATAGAAGTTCACACTGTAGATTCAACCATTTTCAATTATGAAACTTGTCAATTAAATTGCGTGAGAAATATTTTGAAAAAAATCATAAATATTCAGTGGCATTAAATTTTGCACAGAATTATCATTTTTTAAACACTCATTGTTTATAAATAAATAATTAGAATTGTTTAAACTTTCGGAAACCTAATTTTTTTAGACGTGAAATCGATTCCTGATAAAATTATGAATATCAATAAAATTGTTACAAATGATTTTTATAGTGGAAAATTAATTGTTTATAAATCATTTATAGAAAATTCTCGTAATTTTCGGAAATTACAATTTTAAAACTATTTCCTTCAAAAATATAATCATTTTTCCTTCAAAAATCAACATTCTAATTTTTTTTCAGATTTTTAAAATGTTTCCTAACAATTCAATATCGAGATTCAAATTCAGACCTGCAAAGTTTAAATAATAAAATCCTCGTAAAATGTCCGGAAACTGAGGCTCAAAGGGGTTCAAATGAAAGCTCTGATGTTCGATTACAGTAGAAAACCATTTCAGTGGAGAAAAAATGGCCAATAGTACTTGGATATCCTTAAAATTAATATCAGAAACGAATTGATAATCAAGTTGACTCCACATTTGGCATTGGCCTCGCCAAAGAAATCCTAAAATTTCTATTTTTCGCAAAATGCTGCCATTCCCCATCAATGATTTTTATCATAATTTCCAGCCTCTTCTGTACTGTCATGTACACATCCAGAGGCTCCTGCGAAATTCCAAATGTCCCTGCGAGCTCCCAGAATCCTTCATCAGTGTCGTCAGTCCCCCCAAAATCCCCTCATCACCGATTCCTCCTGCAATACCGGCCGAGTGAGTACCTCAACCCTTGGAGTGCCTACCAGAGCCCCCACCGTTCCCTCATGACCCCGCAAAGACGACAAGTCAACAATAGAAGCTATCTCCGCCGCCAAAACAACGGGGATTCCCCGTACTATCCTCCCAACATTCGGAGCCAGGGGTCCCACCCCACTCTCATGAAAAGATGGAACTTATTCCACCACGCGACCGAGGCGCCGGCCAATTCTTCATCAAGCCCTCCTCCAAGTACTCCAACCACCCCTGAACACCCCCAAAACGTCACGAATGCTTCAAGCACCGAAAATTACCTGAACACGTCGACGAGTGTTCCCCTGACCCCTGCCAACGAGGACTACAATATCCTGAATATCCAGAGTCGAGATGTCCCAGCCTGGCAAGTGCCTGAAGACTCAAGACTGCAAGAGCCCCTCCCCCTCTACCCAAATTACGGAATGAGTTCATTGGACTCTCCGGATGATCAGCAGCTAAACCTCAATTCAGACGAAAATGCAAATTTCAAAAAATTGGAAATGCCGAATTCCTTGGATTCTCCCTCGAAATTTAAGCGTGGATTCAGATTGCTCCCGGTTTCCAATAATTTATACGTCTTGAAACAAGACCCCGTGGTACTGGGATCTGAGAATACCAACGACAATCAGAAAACTGGAGATCTGAAGCGTTCAAATCCGCAATTTGATGATGGAACAGCGGATTTATTGGCATTCAAAGCTCACATGCATCACAGAGTTGAAGACATTGGGAAGACATTCTTGAACAGGGAAATGAAGAAGGATGTATTGTCTTCTGGAGGTGAATCGATTGGAGACAGTTTGGATTCATTAGACCCAGGAGTAGATAGTTCATGGGGGCCAGTGGGTGACTCTCCAGCCCTCGGGCAGTTTCTGGAGGATAGTAACGCTGGTCTTCAGGGGTTAAATCGCCCTGTTGATGCTCTTCAGAGTCAAGATCCACTCCTGAATCCCCTAGAGTCTAACCCCGAGGGCCTAAAGTTGTACGAGAATTCGTACGGTTCTGTGGACGCTCCAGGGTCCTACTCGGGGGTCGACCTGTACCAGCCACACTCGATGCTCACCAAGAACCTCTACCAATTCGACCCAAACCTTCAATCCAATTTTTATCCTCCACCAGCCAACCAATGGCCTCAAAGCTACCTGAATCCAGCTGGTCTGAATCCCCTCGAAGACACTAATCAGCAAAACCTCGCTGAAGAATACAACAGCGTCATGGAGAACAGCCCCGATGACCTCGACAGAGGGCCCCGAGGTGACTCTGAAGAAGGTCATCTGGGATATCTGGATAATTACGCCAGAGCGGTGGAAGCCATCAACGACAACTGGAATCTAGCTCAGGAAGCTGGTGATGGGGGTGGCTCTCGACCTGGAGACATTATCAAAGAGACTCTAGCGCCAGTCAGTGAACAGTTGGTGACATCAGAGGCACCGAAACCTGAGGAAAATTCTGATAAGACCAACGGGACGTCATTGGCAATGGTGATAGAGCCCTTGACGGCGCAACTCCAGAAACTGCTC